AGTGGCCTCTTCTCTGACCCTAGCTCCTTGCTTCACTTTCTCAGTCTTCTACTTCATTCTTTCACCAGTCCCTTCGTGGCCAACAGACTATCCTATCAGTGATACCAGATCATATTGTTCTCAGTCTCAGAGTTTTATGCGGCACTCCTGTACTTTAAAATCTCCACGGCTGCTCAGCATCTGCAAGATCAAACCCATCCTCCTCAGCACGGCACTGAGGGCTTGTCCTCATGGTGTGATAAGGGCTGACAGCAGCTGACATTGCTGAACAGGAAGTTGACATTCCCTTGTGGCCACACCGGGTGACTTCCTCTTCTGGGTCTCTGCAGACCGACATCTTCTCTGGAGCCCTCTTCATCCAGATGGCCTTGGGCTGGAATCTTTACCTCTCCACGGTGCTCTTGCTGGTGGTGACAGCCGTCTATACCATCGCAGGTAGGGCCGAGGGAGGGTTCTGTTGGGGTGCAGGCACCAGTAGCAGAGACAGACGGGGCAGGGAGAGGTGGAGAGGGAAGCTTCTGACTGCAGAGACACAGGGGAAGACTAGAGGAGAGAGAAAGTCCAGAGGGAGAGGTGAAGAGAAAACTGACCCTGAGAGAAAATGAAAAACAGAAAGGGACAAAAAGTGGCAGGCGGAGATGTAGGATCAGAGGAAAAGACTGAAAGACACAGTGCAACAGAGATTAGGGGAGATGGAAAAGCAGAAACAGGAGGAAACAGAGCCAGCCAGAGAGAGACAAGGAAGGAGAGACCTTAAGAGATACTGAGAAAGACCTACTGCAACAGGGAGCAGGGGAGTGATTAGGGAATGTTATCTGGACCAGAGCCACTGTGGGCTGCTCCAGTCAAAAGCCACAGACCCGCCTCCCTCTGTCCCCTTCAGAGCACCTCACACAGGCCTGGGCATCCTGGGTCACTGGCTCAGGGCAGACCTGCTCCTGGCTAAATCGGCCTGGAAAGACGTGGAATTTAAATGGGCACTGGGGTCGGAGGGAGGGAGTGCTCCTGGTGTTGCTAACAGCACACAAAAGACTAGACTTGGGATATTAAACAACGATAAGCTGTGGCAGGGCAGCCACAGGCAGAGGCCGGCAGGATGGAGGGAGCTGGACCTGTGACTGTGACCAGTTCCCACCTGCCAGGTGGCACAGNACTGGGGTCGGAGGGAGGGAGTGCTCCTGGTGTTGCTAACAGCACACAAAGGACTAGACTTGGGATATTAAACAACGATAAGCTGTGGCAGGGCAGCCACAGGCAGAGGCCGGCAGGATGGAGGGAGCTGGACCTGTGACTGTGACCAGTTTCCACCTGCCAGGTGGCACAGAGGGGCACGCAGTGCCAGGAAAGGCAGGCGGCGGGAGTCCACCTGCGAAGAGGGCTCCATGTCTTCTCTGGTCTCCCCAGGGTGGCCACACACAGGGCGGGCACCCAGAGAGGAACCCCTGTTGGTGCTGACTGATGAGCCCTCTCCTTGGGTCCCTAGGGGGCCTCACGGCCGTGATCTATACTGACGCTCTACAGACAGTGATCATGGTAGGGGGAGCCCTGGTCCTCATGTTTCTGGGTAAGAAAAATATCTGAATACTCTCCACCCTCACCCCTAAATTTCTCTCTCATCTATTTTTAGCAATTTCTTTGGAACTTTCCAGAGTACAGAGTCATGTCCCCCCTCCAGACAGGGACTCCCAAACAGCAGGGTTTTCACTACCCCAAACTGGGGGTCTGAGCCCCATTTCCCTCCCCCATTCCCAAGTCCCATACGAGCTCCAAGCCTTGGAGGCCCCGCGGAACTGGGAGTGGAGAGGGGCATGTGACAGGCTCAGTGGGGGTCTCACGGCTGTTTCACTCACTGTGGTATCTCCCCACAGGCTTTCGGGAAGTGGGCTGGTACCCAGGCTTGGAGCAGCAGTACCGGCAGGCCATCCCTAATGTCACAGTCCCCAACACCACCTGTCACCTCCCCCGGCCTGATGCCTTCCACATGCTCCGGGACCCTGTGAGCGGGGACATCCCTTGGCCAGGCCTCATTTTCGGGCTCACAGTGCTGGCCACCTGGTGCTGGTGCACCGACCAGGTGATGCCCCAGCCAGGCTTGGCTCCTCCCACCATGAACGGGGGGGAGCTCCCTGTGGGGAAACCGGGCGTCTGGGTGCACAGAGGGTGGGACCCATTCTGGGACCTGTGTAGAGGCACAGGCAGTGACCACGTCAGGGCTCTCCTNTAGAATAGACAGTGAAATTCCTGCCTCAGTTCTCACCCTCTGGGTCCCCATAATGCCTGTGCTGAAAGGTAGGGAATCTCGGTGAGGGCAGAGGTTGGGGGAGGCTCGGAAACCTCACCTCTCACCACTTCCTTTGCAGTCTTCCATTCGTGCAAGCAGAGGGACCATTGGCGGCTACTTCCTGGCAGGGAGGTCCATGACCTGGTGGCCGGTGAGTGGACCTTCCTCCCTCCTCGCCTCCCAAAGCCAAGTCCTCACCTTGTCTTCTCCCGCCTGGACCAAGGCAGCAGCCTCTGGGGGTGTTTCCTGGTCCCAGACTCCTCTCTCCTCCAGTTCAAATGCACCTGCAACCTGAGCAACCTTGCTCACACACACTTTGGGTAAGCACTCACTGAGCGCCACCAAATGGGCCGCAGGCTGAACACTGGACCTACAGAGCTAATCTAGAATGTTCCTGTCCTCCAGAAGCTGAGTTGAGCTGGGCAGACAGACTCATAAACAAGGTGATCACTGCTGAGCTACAGGGCAGTTCAGGGGCTTGTGAGCGCTTGCAGGAAGCCTCTGACCGCCAGACAGTGGAAGTGGGATTAGTAAAGGTTTTCTTGGGAAGGTGACATATCAGTTTAATCCTGAAGAGCAGTTAAATGAGGGAAATCATGGAGGTAAAACCCCCAACAACCTCAAGGAATTGATCCTGAGACCTTTGTGACCCAGGCGCTCCCATCGGGCCGCCTTTCTTGTTCCCCCGCCTCCTATGCTTCAACGTTCTTCTCTCTGGGGAGCCTTAGATTGATGGCCTGGAGCAGAGCTTTATCCCCCCTGATGGCCCCTGCTCCCCGGGACTTCCTTTCTTTCCCACTGAGCCACTCACTCACGGGTGGCCTGCAGCCAATGGCTTCATTTTTCCTAATATTAAACGTACACTGGAAAGATTAATACCCATCTGTCCAAATCTCTGGGGTGATTAAGTGTATTAGTGCTCATAAAATGCCTAGCACAGTACAAGGCATATAGTAGGCACCCCGTAAATGTCAGTTCTGTCCCTCTTCCTCTCTGCTCCCCTCAACTCCCTCCTCTTCCTCTGATCTCTGATTTCCTGAGTCCAGGTCCTGCTCTCCCTGCCTCCTGCCCAGCTCCTAAAGTACATGGCCCTGGCTCCAGACTGATTCTGATTAACACGGACCCCTGACCCTTGGCCCCACTTGTGCCTTGCAGATCGGAGCATCGCTGATGTCCAGCAATGTGGGCAGCGGCTTGTTCATCGGCCTGGCTGGGACAGGAGCCGCTGGAGGCCTCGCTGTGGGTGGCTTTGAGTGGAATGTAAGGA